AAAGCTGCTCCTACCACAACCACATCTATTCAAACCACAAGCACAGATGTTCTCACAACTACCACAGGAGCGCCATCCACAACCACAGCTGCTCCAACCACAACCACTGCTGCTCCAACCACAACCCCAGCATCTGCTACAACAGCCAAAGCTGCTCCAAGCACACCCACATCTGTTCCTACTACAACCACAGCTATTCAACCCACAACCACAGCTGCTCCCATAACAACAACAGGAGCTCCATCTTCAACCACAGCTGCTAAAACTACAACCACAACTGCTCTTTCCACAATCTCAGCTGCTCCAACCAAAACCACTACTGCTCCAACAACAACCACAGCTGCTTTCACAACAAGCACAGCTGCTCCAACCACAAAAACAGCAGCTTTTCCAATAACAACCACAGCTGCTGTGACAACAACCACAGCTGCACTAACCACAACTACAGCTGCTCCAACCACAACCACCTCTGCTAACACAAAAAACACAGCTGCTCCTACCACAACCACAGTTGTTCAAACCACAAGCACAACTGTTCTCACAACAACCACAGGAGCTTCATCCACAACCACAGCTGCTCCATCCACAACCACAGCTGCTCCAACCAAAACCACTACTGCTCCAACAACAACCACAGTTGCTGCAACCACAACCACAGCTGCTGCAACAACAACCACGGATGCTCCAGCGACAACCATTGCTGCTCCCACAACCACAGCTGTTCCATCTACAACAACATATATTCTAACCACGACCACAGCTTATCCAATAACAACTACAGCTGCTCTCACAACAACCACTGCTGCTCCAACCACAACTGCAGCTTCTCCAATAACAACCACAGCTGCTGCCACAACATCCACAGCTGCTTTAATCACAACCACTGCTGCTGTCCTAACAACCACTGCTCCTCCAACCACAACCATAGCTGCTACAACCTCATCCACAGCTGCTGCCACAACAACCACAGCTGCACCAACCACAACAACAGCAGCTTTTCCAAAAACAACCACAGCTGCTGCAACAACAACCACTGCTGCACCAACCACAATCATATCTGCTCCAAACACAATCACAGCTGCTCCAACTACAATTACAGCTTTTCAAACCACAACCACAGCTGCTCCAAGCACAACCACAGCTGTTCCCACTACAACCAGAGCTGTTCAAACCACAAGCACAGCTGTTCACACAACAACCACAGGAGCTCCATCCACAACCACAGCTACTCCAATCACAACTGCAGCTGCTGCCACAGCAGCTCCAACCACCACCCCAGCATCTTCTACATCTGCCAAAACTGCTCCAAGCACATCCACAGATGTTACCACTACAACTGCAGCTGTTCAAACCACAAGCACAGCTGTTCTCACAAAAACCACAGGAGCTCCATCCACAACCACAGGTGCTGCCACAACAACCACTGCTGCTCCAACCACAACCGCGGCTTCTCCAATAACAACCACAGCTGCTGCCACAACATCCACAGCTGTTCAAACCACAACCACAGCTGTTCCATCCACAACAACCACTGCTGCACCAACCACAACCACAGCTGCTCCAACAACAACCACCGCTTCTGCCACAACAACCACAGCTGCTCCAACCACAACCTCCGCTGCTGCCACAACAACCACACCTGTCCCAACCACAAACACAGCTGTTCCTTCCACAACAACCAGTGCTGCACCAACCACAACCACGGCTGCTCCAAGCACAACCACAGCTTCACCCACTACAAACACAGCTGCTCAAACCACAAGCACAGCTGTTCACACAACAACCACAGGAGCTCCATCCACAACCACTGCTCCTCCAACCACAACCATAGCTGCTCCAACCTCAACCGCAGCTGCTGCCACAACAACCACAGCTGCACCAACCACAACAACAGCAGCTTTTCCAAAAACAACCACAGCTGCTGCGACAACAACCACTGCTGCACTAACCACAAACACAGCTGCTCTCAAAACTACCACAGCTGCAGCAACATCAAGCACTGCTGCTCCAACGACAACCACACCTGCTCCAACCACAACATCAGCTGTTCCAATCACATCCGCTGCTGCTGTCCTAACAACCACAGCTCCTCTAACCACAACCATAGCTGCGCCATCCACAACCACATCCGTTCCAACCACAACCACAGCTATTCCATCCATAACAACCACTGCTGCACCAACCACAACCACAGCTGCTCCAACAACAATCTCCGCTGCTGCCACAACATCCACACCTGCCCCAACCACAAACACAGCTGTTCCATCCACAACAACCAGTGCTGCACCAACCACAAACACAGCTGTTCCATCCACAACAACCAGAGCTGCACCAACCACAACCACAGCTGCTCCAAGCACAACCACAGCTTCTCCCACTACAAACACAGCTGTTCACACAATAACCACAGGAGCTCCATCCACAACCACTGCTCCTCCAACCACAACCATAGCTGCTCCAACCTCAACCGCAGCTGCTGCCACAACAACCACAGCTGCACCAACCACAACAACAGCAGCTTTTGCAAAAACAACCACAGCTGCTGCGACAACAACCACTGCTGCACCAACCACAACCACATCTGCTCCAACCACAATCACAGCTGTTCAAACCACAAGCACAGCTGCTGCCACAACAACCAATGCTGCACCAACCACAACAACAGCAGCTTTTCCAAAAACAACCACAGATGCTGAAACAACAACCACTGCTGCAACAACAACAACCACAGGAGCTTCATCCACAACCACAGCTGCTCCAACCAAAACCACAACTGCTCCCACAACATCCACAGCTGTTCTATCCACAACCACAGAAGCTCCAACCACGGCCACTGCTGCTCCAACCACAACCCCAGCATCTGCTACAACAGCCAAAGCTGCTCCAAGCACAACCACAGCTGCTCCTACTACAACCACAGCTGTTCAAACCACAACCACAGCTGCTCCCA